TTATACGAGACCTAGGATTTTCTAACGACATACTGTCTTTTTCAATGATTTGGATCAACCTATTGGATCAATCAATGCTTCGTGTTTGAACGACCAACGGATATCAACATTAGAATTGCTATATATTTAAGGTAACCGTTTTCTTGTAGTCAAAAGAGTAATTAACCAATTCCTTTAGGGGTGTTGGTAATTTAGATTCTTTATCAGTTAAATAGTTAGGAATAAATAGAGGAAATTATTTTTACATAACGAGGATAATCCAAGTCGGTTCAATTTATTATTAACATTGTGAATTATACAGGGTGGTGCACGGTAAGTAGGAACATAGGGATTTAACATGGGAAATTAGTTGTATGCAATATCCTGCCCTCCTGTACATTTTACAGAAAAAACTGTAGAGTTTAAAGTTGTTGAGAATTAAAAGGTGCATACAAAACTGTTTTTACATGTTTTATTAAGCTTTTGGTATACCCGCAAATTTAAAAATAAATTTCAACATTTCTGTTATATTTTATTTTTCATAAAACAACAAAAGTCTTGGCTATTGCTACTAATAACAGGAATGTTGAAATTCATTTTTAAACTTGCGGGTGTACCAAAAGCTTAATAAAACATGCAAAAACAGTGCACCACCCTGTATGCAAGAAGCCATTGTATCACTTATCGAGAAAAAGTAAGTAAATAAGAAGAGTTGCCACCACAGCCCACAGAAGCATAAAAAACAAGTATAAATTGTGCACAACTCTTGTGCAGACAAAGCGCATTTTTTTAAACCGAAATTTGGTTTTGGTTTTGATCATCAAAGGATATATTTCTTGCAGACGTCTCAATCGCTCTTTGTGAGTACCCTCTTCCGACAATCCGTTCTTGTGGTATAAGGGAATATACCCGATCACAATAAGAGGTCGAGAAGGAGAGGTATAGTTGGTAGAAATTAATTCCTTTCGTTGAGACCTTTCATTAGAGTACCATGAAGGATAAAAGTAGTCCCCCCCTCCTCCTCCAACCCGTACTTTGATAAGAGGACAGAAAGAAGGGCAGTAGTTGGTAGAAAAAGGTTGCTTTCGTTGAGACCTTTAATTAGAAAACAATGAAAGATAAAATTAATTCCCCCCCCCCCTCAGGCCGCGACGCTCTATGATCTCGAAAAAGAGTCGCACGGGAAAGTTATAGTTTGTACAAACCAATTTATTTCGATGAGACCTTTCATTAGAATACCATGAAGGTAGAACATGTGTTTACCCCCCCCCCCCCTCATTTTCTAAAGTATGTAAAATCTGAAAATCTGAAACCAACTGGTTGTCGTATGTAAAAGTTATGCACGTTGTACTTTCAAACACAGCATCTCAGGAAATAATTGGTGGGGAGGGGGGGCTTTTAGACACCGAAATTTGATGGCCGTCTGGTTATATTATTTATTATTTATTATTTATTATTTATTATTTATTATTTATTATTTATTATTTATTATTTATTATTTATTATTTATTATTTATTATTTATTATTTATTATTTATTATTTATATTATTTATTATTTATTATTTATTATTTATTATTTATTATTTATAATTTTTTATTTTTTATTTTTCAATTAAACAACCATTTGCTGTGAACTGTTTTTTGCACATTTTTGAAAATTTATTTGTAAAAAGGTACCTTTTAATCTCACTTTGGCCGGCAGAATAACGCTACTTTAGGGACGGGGCCACATAATGTTTAGGCGACATCTGGGCGCCATCCCCGTGTGTTATATTAAAGTGGTGATTTTGTATTTTTATTTTCTGCTACAGCTTTAGTCCCATTGGTTTCAAATTGGTGTCATCGGAATTCGAAATTGATCACCATTTGCAAGGCGCGCGTCTCCGAGGGGTAGTCGTCTTTTGACGCCCAAAGGTTACTTAAAGGTCGAATAGCGGTCTCTCTTTCTCGTGTCTCGAGATACGAGAGGTGTCCCAAAAATTAAAAATTAAGTAGAGTTTTGTTGAGGGTTTTTAGCGAAATCCCCCAAAATGCGAATTGCGGGTAAACGAGACGTCAGAAGTGGGTACTGACAAAGGGAATGTGAGGGAATTTGAAGAGATGCTTGGAGATACGCTGGAGAGACGGCAAAGAAATTATGAGGAGACTCTAAAAAGGAATTAATAACACAAAAGCGAAGAGATTTTAAAGAGGTTCAGAAAGATCCTAAATATGTTCTCAGAAATTGAGAAGGTAGTCTCTCTAAACCCTAAAAATAGATTGAAGAATTTGCAGATGTTCTGGAAGTTAAGAAAATTTTTAAGAAATTGATCTTTAATTTGTAAAGAAAGCACTCGGGAGGCACTTAAAAACCTTTTATTGTAGAGTTAGGAAGTGATTTACTTTGTAAAAAGGAGTGCAATTTAGTCGTTGAATGGAATTGATCGATTCCACCAGAAAAGGTGCAAAATTGTTGGCACCAATCGAATAAAAATGTGAGGTTAGAAGATTGGGTGCAAAATATTGATATTTACGTCCGCACTTTAAAATCAAGGGTTGGCGCGAAGTAAGAAAACGCCCGGGGGAATTAATTACTTTTTAGTCTCCCCTTATAAGTGATTTTTAATTTTATCACTTAATGAATATGCATTGAAGTGTTTTAAAGAAGGTTGTACTGGCTTAGGTGGGTTTGCTGCTGCCGACAGTAGGACCAAACAGTGCCTTAAATTTTGGGATTTGTAGGAAGCAGACCTAGGGTAGTCATTATTTTGTCAGTTCAGCCTTCAACGTTGGATCTGCAAACCGCAGGCCAATTCAACCCCTAATACAAGTCCGCGCTTCCGTGTCCAACCGGTTCCGATGTACTACGCTTAAATGCGTTCGCTAGACCGAAAGTTAAGGACTCAGGCAATGAAAAGAGTCGGCCCCCGGCTTCACCATTTATCGGGAAACAAAATGGCATGCAAAGCCATTAAGAGTGGAGAGCGACTTGAAAGACCAAGGGATTCTGAAAAAATACTGAAAAAAATTTGAAAAGGTTTTGTGTAGATTTTGAATAGGATTACTCTTTGGAAAGCTTTTTAGAGATGTTGAAAAAAGTTTTTAACAAATTCTTAAAAAACACTCAGAAGATTTGAAAAGATTTTGGAGAGGCCATGGAAAAATTTGGGGAAAACGAAAAAATTTCTACTTGCAATATTTCTTAATATTGAAGGAATTCCGAAGGACTATAGGGATATTTTCAAAATGTTTTAAACTTTTAGTTCACTTCCAATTTTTGCGATTGTTTATGTATATACGCAACATTTTTGTTTTTTTTTTGTTTATAAAATGTACTGAATTTTCATAATATTAAAAAAATTTTTTTTAACCAGAATAATTTATCCACAACAGCTAAATTCCGCTGGTTAAATTGATTCCGAGTTTTTTGAGTTTATCTGATTTTTCTAGATTTTCGGTTTTTGACAATTTTCGAATTTTAACATTTTTGAAATTAATACATTTTTTATGTGCACTCAATTGTTTTAATCTCTCATCTATGATGTCTGTTTTTCGGTAGCAGTTAGAACGGTGGAACAGTCAACTCGGGCGCCACTAAGGGATGTTGACACCTTGCTTCTGGCCAAAGTCGGGGTAGGTATAGTTTGGCGGGTCGGTCTCAGAAGCCTCGGGCAAACTCAAAAGGAGTAAACGGCAGCTCCAGGAATTCTAAGGGATAAGCGGCGGTCGGCTACTGGCGAATGACGTAACAAAATTAAAGCGCACGGCTTTTTACCTAAGAAGGAACGAAAGCAAAATACACAAATTAGCGATATCTACGGGAAAGTAAATGTAGGAAAGCGAAACAATATCCCCTTCTTATAATTAATGGAACAGAAAGTAACAAAAAGCTGACTTTGCAATTAATTGGAGGGGTAGAAATTAAAAGCGTAACTTACGAGGATGCAAAAGGCAAAAGATCTTACTTTTCAGTTACAACACCCAAAGACCCCCTCTGAGCAACACTACCTTTTAAAAAATTCGGATATTTCGTAGAGGGATCGACGGTTTATCAGCCGACACAGCTTATTCGGTTATATATGTCCAAAACATGTAATTAAGACCCCTCACAACTTAATCGGATGCTGTCTATTGCATCTCATTGTTTTAGCTACCATTAATTGTACTTACTTGATTGGTCAGATTGAAATTTCTAAAGTCGGTAGTCCAGTGTCGCTCAGTGTTATTGGAATTCCTCGAGGCGGCATGAAGGTCGCTTAACAAAATTGATATCGGCATAGGGAATCAAAATCATCTATTCTGCTCGATGGGAGGGAATGCCGGTCGCAGAACACCTGATGCCAGTCTACAATCGTATGGTTTAATGTGAAAAACATACGATCGCAGACCGAGATCGGGTGTTGCATTATAAATAATTACTTAACGGAGCTGAAATTCTAAAATATTAATTCGCCTTCGTCTTCTAAGTTACATGAACTTTCGGACACAACTAAGGCAATTGTCGGGAATTGACGCAAACGGCGAATTAATTGCAGCTTTTATTTACGGTAGCGACGGCTGAAACACTACCATAGAAATTAAACCAATTACGCGCCCAACTTATACCGGGTGTTCAGCAGAGCTGGTCCATTCCGCAAATATACGGTGTGGTCATAACTTCGGGTATGAAACTTCAAGGCGGAAAATAGGTGCCTCGTTACAGTTATTCCAAAATTCTCAAATTATGAATCATTTAAATTTCTCTTCTTCTTTCTCTTGATAATTAAGAGATACTAATAAGTTGGGGGCTGTCGAATCGCCGTGTTTTCGAGCAAAGTTTTTAGAATACCTGTTTGAATTTTGATTCAAATGTAGAGATTTGACAATTTTTTTGGGGTAATTCAATTGCGAAAAAAAAGAAATATCACTAGAGGTTTCTGGGCGATTACTAGGAGGTAAGTGGTGCAAACTAAAAGCTGAAGGTTCTCAACAACGATCTGAGTTGGTGGTGTTTCGAAAGGATTCTTGAGGGGTTGATCTAAATTAATATTAAACACGAGAATGTTACGTATGAATCTATTTCCGTTGACAAAACTAATCACTGATTTGTTGAATCATGCTGACAACGGCGTCCAGGGTCTCCTGTCCTGTGGGAATAATTTGATTGGCCGGTAGAAGGAATCCGTACATTCCCTCGTCTCTCAGCTCGAACGTGTACACTAAGCGTACGTTCCTGTGGACACCCGCCACCCAATCGGTGCTACCGCCACTTGCGACATCTAGAAAAGTCTTGTGTTACAAACGCACCCCACCAGAGGGCCAATGACTTACAAATTGCCTCGGGGATATTTCCCATATTGTAACTCGTTCCGTAGCGGCTGTACAATTTAGCGAGTGCATTTTTACCGATTTCGTGCTGAAATTGTTGTTACTATTTGGGTGGTGGTCTCAGCAGTTTGACTTACCAATTCGTCATTGTTTTCAGGAACTTCCAATCCGCTGTGCCCGAACGGTATCAGAAGTAGTTGAGAATAGGAGTGGAAGGCGAGGTATGAATCTAAGTTGGATGCAATCGTGTTGATGTAGTCCGATAACGACTTGGTTTCAATTAATGAAAAGGGCCCCTCGCCTGAGTAGATGTCATAGCATGGAACATCTACGGTACCACCTTCGTTCCAGTGGTAACCCCAGTTACGGTTAGGATCAGCCCCATAGCAAGTTTGACCGTTATATTGATAAGGATTCCTTGTTTTTCGCCAAACACGATTCTATTCAGAGCAAAAATGAGATCGCCCCAAAGACCTCGCGCTTGGAAACTTACGGTGGTATGTGTATAGACGTAGCCATCAGGATTGACAACGGGGAAGACGTACCAATCGCGACTTTCCGCGACCGCGCGAATTGCGGGGTCGGTGCTAGTCAGAAGTTGGTGCAAGATGAAACTGACGGTAGCCGGTGAGATCCACTCGCGAGCGTGGATGCCTCCTTCGAGAAAAACACCTTTGTTTCCTGACTTGAACGACACATGTACCCCCAGAATTTCGCGGCCTTCATACGATCGTCCTCCAACGACCAGCTTGACAAAGTCTGGATAGGTACGAGCCAATCCTCTTAACCAATCGTGTATCTGCAAGAATTAGTTTTGCAAATTTTGAACGAGACTTCGGGACTATTCACCTCGTCCAATGTTTGGTAGCTGGTAAACAACTCGCCTCGTGATGCTGTACGATTTTGTTCGTTCTCAACTAAATTTTGCACATTTTCGATCAAAACCTTGCCCGAAAGTTGCAAGGAATGGATCAGATGTTCAAAGTCATACTTGATATGAGGCGGTACCATGACATCGACGGTGTGATGCAGAGCTATCGGTGACCAAAAGTTGTAGTTGTCATCCTTCTCCAACTCATGGAGCTCTGTCAGGTGTAACTCAGTGGTTGGAACTACCCGATACACCTTGAAACTGTCGAAGCGGCGGGGCTGTTCCCCGGCGCAGACCGTCGCTGCAGCTACCAGGAGTAAAATTATCTTCATCCTAAAAGCGGAACTTTGAGAAATGTTACAAGTAATACATCAAGATACGCTTACCTGAGAAAAAGTGAAAAGAATAGCACGTCGTTCGCTTTATATCTCGAAAGAAAATCTTGTTATCAGATTATGCATTTATTTTTAGAAGCACTTTAATGCAAAATGATATCGAAAATCATTACCTTCCTGTCGTAATCATATTAGATATCGTTTTATCAATTTTCACATGACTTCAAAGAAACATGCCTCGCTCCCTTGGTACCAAAAGACTACCTGCAGGTTTTGCATGATCTCAAGTATCGGAATGTTCTCATGGTCTGAAACGTTCTGAAGAGTTTGAAGATTTTGAAGATTATGAAAGTTCTGACGATTGTGCAGGCTTCACCGGGTGCCAAAGGTTCTAAAATGATATAAAAACCTAAAAAGTCTAAAGATTCCAAATGACATCAATATGAGGAGTCGTCTTAATGGTTCAAAATCGTGTATTATAGCAAACAAGGCCGTTGTTTGACCCGAAAATCCAATTAAAAATGACCCTACCGAATGTTCGAATCCGGCCAATTAAGTGAGTGTAATTAACCGGAGTTAATCAATTGCGTTGCAGTAAACGTTAACAAAATGGGCCATGTTTGGTATCGTTGAAAGCGCGCTTAATTGACATGAATTTTAAGATTAGCTCCAGATTTTTATCATAACAGGCGATCGAGTAATTAATTACAGAAGTTTTAGGTTTGAATGTTATCATAAAAGCACGTCGGTCAGATGGTCCTATGTTTCCTTTCCGCTTTTATGGAATTCTATAACAGGTACCCGTAGCTAGTAGATACCGTTAATAGTTTGTGTTTCTAGTTCCGCTTAGAGAATTTGCTAAAGGTTCCGTATACCGTAATTATGTTTTAGATTATTTCGCTAGTGACGGACCCCACTTTCCCCATAATATCCCTGAAGTTGACTGTTTCTTCTAGCTGATTTACTTGTGGGTTCCGAATTTCCGAAACCGAAACCGACCATCCCTGATCAAGAGTAGGGTGTGAGAGATTATAGCTGAAATTACCGCTGGTTCTGACAGCTTGGTTGAAATTAAACTCTTGCACTTGTTGATTTTTGATTTAACTAATATTGTACCATTCAATTACAAGCAACCGATTGTGTTCGTCACAAATGTGTCAAGAGTACAAGAAGAAGAAAGGGCGCAACGAATTTAAATTGTCCAAAGGTTTTAATTGTTCTAAAGGTTCCAAAGGTTCCAAAGGTTCCAAAGGTTCTAAAGGCTCAAAAGGTTCTAAAGTTTCAAAAGGTACAAAAGGTTTAAAGGTTCTAAAGGTTCAAAAGATTCAAAAGATTCAAAAGGTTCTAAAAGTTTTAAAGGTTCTAAAGGTTATAAAGTTTCTAAAGTTTCTAAAGTTTCTAAAGTTTCTAAAGTTTCTAAAGTTTCTAAAGTTTCTAAAGTTTCTAAAGTTTCTAAAGTTTCTAAAGTTTCTAAAGTTTCTAAAGTTTCTAAAGTTTCTAAAGTTTCTAAAGTTTCTAAAGTTTCTAAAGTTTCTAAAGTTTCTAAAGTTTCTAAAGTTTCTAAAGTTTCTAAAGTTTCTAAAGTTTCTAAAGTTTCTAAAGTTTCTAAAGTTTCTAAAGTTTCTAAAGTTTCTAAAGTTTCTAAAGTTTCTAAAGTTTCTAAAGGTGTCAAAAGGTTCAAAAAGTTCTAAAGGTTCTAGAGGTTCAAAAGGTTTAAAATATTCAAAAGGTTCAAAATATTCAAAAGGTTCAAAATATTCAAAAGGTTCTAAAGGTTCTAAGGGTTCTAAAGTTTCAAAAGGTTCAAAAAGTTCTAAAGGCTCCAAAGATTCAAAAGTTTCTAAAGGTTCTAACGGTTCAAAAGGTTTAAAGGGTTCAAAAAGTTCTAACGGTTCTAAAGGTTTAAAAGTTTCAAAAAAAAAGGTTCAAAAGGTTCTAAGGGTTCTAAAGGTTCTAAAGGTTCTAAAGGTTTTAAAGTTTCTAAAGGTTCTAAAGTTTCTAAAGTTTCTAAAGTTTCTAAAGTTTCTAAAGTTTCTAAAGTTTCTAAAGTTTCTAAAGTTTCTAAAGTTTCTAAAGTTTCTAAAGTTTCTAAAGGTGTCTAAAGCTACTAAAAGTTCAAAAGGTTCTAAATGTACAAAAGGTTCTAAAGGTTCTAAAAGTTCTAAAGGTTCTAAAGGTTCTAAAGGATCCAAAGATTCTAAAGTTTCTAACGGTTCAAAATATTCAAAAAGTTCTAAAGGTTCGAAGGGTTCTAAAGTTTCTAAAGATTCTAAAGATTTTAAAGTTTCTATAGGTTCTAAAGGTTCTAAAAGTTTTCAAGTTTCAAAAGGATTTAAAGGTTCTAAAGGTTTTTAAGTTTCAAAAGAATCGAAAGGTTAGGAAGTTTCTAAAGTTTCTAGTTTCTAAGGTTTCTAGTTTCTAAAGTTTCTAAAGGTGTCTAAAGATTCTAAAGGTTCTAAATGTTCTAAAGGTTCTAAAGGTTCTAGAGATCATAATAAAGTTCTAAAGCTTCTAAGGGTTCTAAAGGTTCTAAAGGTTCTAACCGTTTTAAAGTTTCCAAAAGTTCTAAAGGTTCCAAAGGTTCTAAAGGTTTCGAAGGATTTTAAAATTATTTAAAGCTCTAAACCTTTTTATGGCTGTAAAAGTTCTAAAAAGTTCTGAAGGCCATGCATTCCAAAAAATTTAAAGAGAAGCTAGCAGAGCGGAGAGTCTATCTAGGCTTTCTAAGGGGTTTAAAGATTCTATGCAATAGAGTTTGAGGGCCCTAAGGAGTCTAAAGGGCGAAAAACGTTAAGGGGCTCAATGAGGTCTAAGGGGTTAAGGGGTTGTAACCGGTGGTCGATTTGCTGTTTCTAATATTTATTGTCAAATTTGAATCAAAATAACAAGATTTACAAATATACCGCTTCATAGCGAACATAGACAAAGTATGTCTAGAATAAGGGAGACAACACCGCGTGCTATTTCTATAAGAACGCAGGTGTTCGAGATAAAAACATTAGGGAGGAGGTTTTGGGTAGACGAGGTTACATTTTTTAAGAGTCTACACGTACCATTTGGGCGCGTTTAAAATAGAGACTCTTGATTGAGTCGGCTAGTTAGATAAATCTAAAAAAATGAAACAAAATGCAAAAATTTTAAGTACCATGCTTTCTCAAAAAACCTTCAACGGATACAAAACTCTCGGAACACTTTTGTAGGCTTTACACTTTCTACACATTGAGAACCCTTGGACGTCATTAAAGGACAAGAGTGTGAGGGGTGTAAAGAGTGTGAAGAGTGTAAAGCGTGTAGAGTGTAAAGAGTGTAAGGAGTTTAAAGAGTGTAAAAAGATTAAAGATAAAGTAAACTTATTTTATCTGCATTCCTTTCATAAAGCGCATCCGGCAGTAAAAAGAACAATGAAGTTTTAAATACTTATGTATAGAAAATTTCAATTCTCTGACTGGAAAATCGAAAGACTTCTTACGCAAATACTTTCACCTGTAGCAAGCGGCCGCTTTGTCGTTTCAAACACTTCGTTTTGAATTTCTATTTTGGTAAACAGAAAAATTACACATACCGCTTCATAGCGAACGTAAACTAAAGTATGTCTGGTGATAACAAGCGACAACAAGAAACTAGACAAAAAACGTATTGTTGAAATCGAGCACGGTTGCCACAATCTCTCCGGATCTAAAAGTTGCGTTAATTCCATTTGAACCGTGTGAAAAATCCGAAATGCGGGTTTTCTATTGGTTGTTAGGGCACGCCAATCAAGGACGGCCCGTTTCCATTTTTGTAGCGGGAGAGTTTCAAATAGCGAAAGCGAACCTTCTAAGATGATTTTAGCGAGCGATCACTTGCAAACACCGGCGTATGAAAAACTGATTAGCCGCGTTGCAAGAGATATCCTCTCGTTTGTGTGAAGATTTGCGGTTGAAATTCGGGAATCGGAACGTGCAGTTAGTGAGTGAAATCTATCCGAATAGCAGTAAACAATTAGCAGTTTAACTTCCCGTTAACTTGCCCCCCCCCCCCACTGAGAGATTTGATAGTCGTATTATTTTGAAATGAATGCGCTCGTTATGCGCTCATATGCGCCACCGATAATAACTCTTGCGCCATTATCGTTTTTTAGAAATCCGAAAAAACATTTGGGGGGGCCAAGCCATTTTTAAAAACCTACCTATTTTACTTTCCCAGAATCGTTTAACTAAAGCTGCCAAAAAAACACGCTGTATAGTGTTTCTGAAACACTATAATAGCGCCAAGATTTTTGTTTACGGCGCATTTTAGCGCATGATGAAAGGTACGATGTAGTAGAAAAAACATGTTAAAAAACGTAACTTTTGAAAATGTTAAGTTAGCCCCCCCCCCACTTTTTAAAATTTTTTTATGGCTTAACCGTAATGGCGCTAGCTTGAATTCAAGTAGCGCAATTGAGCGCATAACCAGATGTATCAAGTGGCACAAATACCGGTAGCAAAATGCGTTATGGGGGATTCCGTTCACTTGGCCCCCCCAAATATATTTAAGGATAACCAAAAAACAATAATGGCGCAAAGATATCTTTTTACGGCGCATTTCAGCGCATACCTGAGAGTACAATTTCGTATGAAAAGATGTTAAAAAAAAGTAACTTTTAAAAACGTTAAGTTGGCCCCCCACTTTTTGAAAATTTGTCACGGCTTAACCGTAATGGCGCTAGCTTTAATTCAAGTGGCGCAATTGAGCGCATAACCAAATGTATCAGGTGACTTAGTTACAAGGGACAAAATACGTACTGGGGGGGCTACGTTCACTTGCCCCCCCAATGTTTTTTCGGATTTCTAAAAAACGATAATGGCGCAAGACTTATTATCGGTGGCGCATATGAGCGCATAACGAGCGCATTCATTTCAAAATAATACGACTATCAAATCTCTCAGTGGGGGGGCCAAGTTAACGGACCCGGGAAAAACATACTAAGTAGCGAGAACTCTTAAATTTCGAGTACGTCGTGGCGAAACATTTAAACAAATTCGGATTT